CCACCACCAGTACTGAACTGTTTGTTTCCCAGTTGTCTTAATGATTGACTTCTGCTGCAAAGGACCCTGTAGCTTTTGTGGAGTCAGGAACTGAGCTTCAGGTTTCTTTTGTACTTGGAGCACTTAGCACAGTAGTAGGCACACAGCAGTAGCTCTACAAACTCTGTGTTCAAAAGTGATTGAAAATTATCAGACCAGTTGGGTAACTGATTGGAGCCATTAAGGAAGAGAGCCTGTAGCCCGAACATTACTGGCCTCCAAGCCCCAATCTGCTGTTTCTGACAGTGTGGTTTTAGGCAAATTTCTTCACCGTATCAGATCTTTGTTTCCTTGTCTATAAAAGAGGAGGGTGTATGGATGATTTCCAAGGTGCTTGCCTGTGATACAACTACTAATGCCATTTTCATTATCTAGGGTTTTCCATTTTAATTCATTGTTTCACAGCATGTTTCTATCTTTCTATCCTTATTGACCTAGAGCAACATTGGAGCAGGTATTTCTTCATTTTTGGAGATCCTTTCCTTTGAAGTATTTGATGTTCTCTTCTGAATTCTTTGACTATATGGACAAAGCAATCATATTATGATATGATATCCTATGAGATCTTAGGACATTAGTAGCAAAAGGGACTTTACAGATAATAATAACAAGCAGTTACCATTCATTAAACGTCTAGTGTGTCCCTTTCCTCATTATGGTTAGTACTTCTGTAACCAAAACAAGGGGTTTTACCGCCCCCCCTTTTAGAGAGCTGTGTTGTACAATGATCAAAGAACTCCAGAATCAGACAGTCTTGGGTTCAAGTCCCAGTTCCTCCAGTTAATAATTATGTGACATTGGACACTTACTTTCCCTCTGGAAGTCTCAGTGTCCTCCTTTGCAAAAGGAGAGTATCCCTTATCTCTTACAGTTGTGATGAGGGTTAAGTGTTATAATAAGTCTGCACATTTACACAGATCTACACAGATAATGAATTTGCCACAGAGCAAGGGCTCAAGAAATGGCTGATTTTGTAACATTTACTAAGGGTAACTCATCCAGGGTCTTAGTGATGCAGTGGCAGAGCTGGATCTCAACCTGGGCAGAGTGATCCAGTGCCCACACAGTTGCCCACAGTGCTACCTCCTCAGTGGTTCACAGGACCCATTTGGGGGAAGTGGATGGAAAGTGGTGTGTGTGTGTGTGTGTGTGTGTGTGTGTGTGTGTGTCTGTCTGTCTAAGTCAGGTACAATTAAAAGGAAAATTGATAAGTTCCACCAAGAAGAGAGAATTAAAAAGAAAATTGGTAGTAAATTCCACCAAGAAGGTGCTGTCCCATCACTCCCAGAAGCCCCCTAACACCTTATTTCTTACAAGTATTACACACTAACCAGTTGTGCAACTGGAGCTATAGCCCCATCACCTTCTAACTGAGACTTGAAAAGGCATAGCTCCCAACTCAAAGGGCCCTGCTAGGACCAACGCCTTTTTCCCCCATCTGGGCTGTGAGCAGACTGGACTGGATGATCTGTAAGGGAACGGGAACAGATTTTGGAGCCAGATCAAACTGAGGCAAATCCCTACATACTCCTAATGGAGACACTCCTTTCCTGCTCAGTAAGGGAGTACAGTACCACCTACCCCACTGTTTGTAGTAAGGAGGAGACCTGTGTTAATTGCTTAGCAGAGTTTTGGCACACAGTAAGCATTCAGCAGATAATGACGATGATGACGAGGATAATGATAATAGTGGTGGTGGTGATGATGGAGTCACAGTATAAGTAATACCAGAGAGTCTCAGAGGTCCTCTAAAAAAGCAGACTGGAGGGAAATGGGAAGAGGAGGTCAGCTTGTAGGATAGGTGGGTGAGAAGTTTTGGACATTTCATGGGAAGTAGAATATCCACATGGAGATGTTCCCTTGGGAGTTGGAAACATGAGACCAGAGATGAAGGTTTGGCCCCTCTGACCCTGGCATTCCTGAGGCTTGATTACAGCAGACATTAACTGAGCCCCTTCCATATGTGGATCATTCCACTGTCCATGGTGGCAGCATGACATGCCAGAAAAGATGGTTTTGAAGTAATGTATTATAGTAAGAATGAAAGTACCTATCTTACAGGGTGGTAAGAGATTAAGTTAGAGAATATAAGACTTTGAACACAGAGACTGGCACATTGGAAAAATGTCTTAAGATGATCACATCCCTTTTTATGAAACAGTCTACTCTAAATTAAGAATGAAGAGTCTTATTTGAGAATACCATATTTCCAATCTAATACCTTTTCTAACATCTGTTCATTTTTGAGAGAGAGAGACAGAGCGTGAGCGGGGGAGGGGCAGAGAGAGAGAGGGAGACAGAATCCGAAGTAGGCTCCAGGCTCTGAGCTGTCAGCACAGGGCCCGACGCGGGGCTCGAACTCACGGACAACAAGATCGTGACCTGAGCCAGTCAGACGCTCAACTGACTGAGCCACCCAGGTGCCCCAATCTAATACCTTTTCTGAGAACCATGTGTTAAACAAAGGTCTCAGAAACATTTAAGGAAATAATTCAGTTGTTACAGGTTTCAATTTTCAGTTCTGCTTCTGGAATCCTGTCAGGTAACATTGGTATAGTGAACTAGAAGGCAAAATCTCTGCCATGGACATCCTTAAAGTCCAATCAGGGAAATAGGACATACTTGTAGAAGAGATAAAAATGAAAGACACCATGTCAACACACACTGAACACAGTAAGTGGTGCTCAAATGAGGACGAGGCCAGTGGGTATGTGAGGGCTCAGAAACATTTGGACAGATGGCTCAATGGGCACCATTTTTGATGAGCTAGTTTGAGCAAGGAAAAAGACGCACTTGCTACAAAGTGTTAGTGCCATTTACCTTATGTCGAGCACTAGGCTAGGCTGAGGACACAGCAAAGAAGAGCAACTTTTGACCATGTGGAGATGATAATGGAGTAGGGAGTGAGAGTCTTGAACAGAGCATTAGAGTACAAGCCCAACAACACGGGCTGTTAACCAGGTGGAGGGGCGTATGTGCGCTGCCATGACTTACCTTTCTGTTTGGATCTTCTCCCACCAGGGTCTTTTCACTTAATTCACTTGATGTTTGACGACTACGTGCTCTACCTATTAGAATCCCTGCACTGTCAGGAGCGGGCCAATGAGCTCATGCGAGCCATGAAGGGAGAAGGAAGCACTGGTAAGCCAGCTTTTCACTGGGAATTGCCCTACTTGGCAGTTTGATTTGCATCCTTGCTTCTATGCTCTGTGTTTCTTTAGCTCTTTATTCCGAAGAATTTAGTTGTAGTGGGCAGGCCAAGTGGTGTGAAAGCAGTGATGTCCTTTTCTTCTTTGGAGTGGGCATGGCTGTGTATGGGAACTGCTTGCATGCCTTGATGGTGATTCGAAACCATCAAAGGGCTTTAAGCAGAGGGGTGACATGACACACAGATCAGAAAGAATGTTTCAATTTTTAAAGTCCTTTGAAGACAACTTGCCTTGACCGTTGGCTCTGAGAATCTACCCTTTCTCTACCCATAGCAGAAGTCCGAGAAGAAATTATCTTGACAGAGGCTGCCCCGCCAACCCCTTCACCAGTGCCATCGTTTTCGCCAGCCAAATCCGCCACGTCCGTCGAAGTGCCACCTCCGTCCTCCCCCGTCAGCAATCCATCCCCTGAGTACACTGGCCTCAGCACTACAGGTAATGAAAGGCCCCTAAAGGCTTTGAGTGGGGAGTTGACTTACAGCAAGAGCTTTCTGGAAAAGCATTCTAACCCAATCAATGCCAAGACCGTAGTATTTGCCTGGACTTACAGATGCCTTGCAGTTATTCATTACTCACATGTATATACTGCACATGCTTCTGTTTTCAAGTTGGCCAATTAAGTACATGATAAAATCTCCACCTTCCCCCCCAACTAAGACACTGAAATGATTAAAATGATATAAGACATAAATTGATACACAGCCATTCTTTCTTGAAAATGAGAAAAGGAGCTCTCTGTGAACCAGAGATTGAGAGGCATCTCTGGAAAGTGGGGCATCCGGGAAGCCATTTGCTAACACATGGCGATCATATCGAGGTGGGGGTGATAAGCAAGGTAAGACTAATGCTGTGGGGTCTCCAAGCAAGGGGAGACTCCCTCTGGTTGGAGGCACCAAGAAGACCTCGCAAAGGAATGGGTCTGAGCTGGAACTTCATTTTAACTGAGGAAGGTGGAGCAGAAGGGACTTCTGGGAAGAGGACAGTATGAACAGATGCATAGGGGTAGGGACATGTGGGGCCTTCTCAGGCCACGTGAAACTTGGGCTAAAATTAAAATGTAGGAGGTCCATGAAGGGTCTTATGAGGCTAGACACCACAAATTGCAGTCACATCCTGGCGGATCTTGAATGCCAACATATGGTTTAGAAATGAAAAAGAAGAGGTAATACAAGGATAATAATAGCTAGTTGCCGATGTCCATTATCACTTCACGTAATTATCTCACAATAACGCCTCAAGGTTGTGAAGGAAAAGTAACGGGTGAGAAAGCGTCAATTCCTTGTTCTGGGCACCACAGTCACTCAGCCATTCAACAAATGTCCTTACTCATAAGACTTGTGAAAATGGTAAAGTGTATACAGAATATTCAGTAAGCGTTAGCTAATCTGTGATGACAGTGTGTGTGTGTGTGTGTGTGCGCACACCTCTAGAGCAACTCACATGGTTGCTGTGGGCATGAGATGACGTAAGAAAGGCCAAGTGCTTTGCTCATAGTGAGGTGCTATCAGATAGAAGGGGTCCCATTGATTAAGATGAGGGCTACCGCTGAATGCTATAGGGGATCAGAGGGAGAAGCAATCTCCTTCCTTCCCACCTGAACTCTGGCAGGCAGGAGAGAAGCCTGCAGGAGAGAGGGGAGACTCAAAGGCAGCCTTAAAAGATGAGGAAGAATGCATAGGAGAGGAACCAAAGGCAGAAACAACCTTTTCCTATATGGGCCTTGGTGGGGTTGGGCCAGCTGAACAGATGGGTGTTTGTGGAGCAGAGGGCTCATGAGACAGTGATCATTAATTCATTACCTTTTTTCCAAACCTGCTTAAACTATTCTCCCAATTACCCAACTCCAAATGTGGGAGTCGACTTCATCTTTCCTCTCCCTCGGCTCCTGTATTAGTTAGAATAGGCTAAGTTACTGTTAACAGTAGATCCAAAATGTATGGAGTTGACACAAGAGAAATCTATTCTGTGCTCGCAGACAGTCCTGGCAGGGTGCTTAGGTCTGAGAGGAGGCTCTCTTCAATGCAACCATTTGGAAACACTTGCTCTTTCCATATTAGGTTGCACCATACTCCAGGGCAGTGGTTCTCAAAGTGTGGTCCATGGACCAGCGGTGTCAGCACCCCCTGGGAACCTGTTAGGAATGCTCATCATCAGGTCCCATCACAGACCTACTGAATCAGAAACTCTAGCGGCAAGGCCCAGAGATTTGCTCAACAAGCCTCCCATTGATTCTGATGCACACTAGCTTCAGGCCCACTGCCCTGGGCTTTGCCAAGTCTGCAACCAGCTGACAGAAGTAGAAGGTGGGTATAGAGAGGAAAGCCCAGTCCCTCAAAGGCCCTGGCCTGAAGTAGTACATGTCACTTCCAGTTCCATTTCACCAGTGAGGGCTTAGTCCATGGCCTCATGTAACTAACTGCACAGAGAGGCTGGGAGATGTCGGGTAGCACGTCCCCAGATAGGGAAGGGGGCAAATAGATTTGGGGAGACAGCGTTCTCTACCATGCCTCCCAAGCCAGTCGTTCTAATCCAAATCTTGATGGGCCCATTCCTTCCCATGGCACCACTGCTATCTGTTCAGGCCTTCCCCACGTCTCGGACATCCAGCGACTCTCAAACTGGTTACCCACCTCCAATCTGGTCTGTCCACTTTCTTGCTGCCCACTAGGCTTATTTCCCGAGACCTCGGGCACTCTCATTCTCCAGATCGCACCTCACACTGCTCCACCTCTGGGGTCTCCTCCTTCCACCTCCACCTGATGAAATCCTACTCATCTTCATTGCCCTCACCCTCTAGGTTAGAATCTTCCTCCAGGGGCGCCTGAGTGGGTGGCTCAGGCAGTTGAGCACCTGACTCTTGATTTTAGCTCAGGTCATGATCCCAGGGTTGTGGGATCAAGCCCTGTGTCCAGCTCCACACTGAGCATGTGGAGCCTGCTTCAGATTCTCTCTCCCTCTGCCCCTCTCCCGAGTGCACTCTCTTTTTCAAAAAAAAAAAAAAAAAAAAAAAAAAAAAAGTCTTCCTCCAGACGCTCACAGCATGGTCCTACTTATATCCTAGTTCTACTTAGAATAATTTTCAGAATAGACTGGGGACTGAAATTGGGTATTTTTGAAGACCAAATAAACAGGATGAGATTACCCTATTTAGGATGTTGTCTTTTATCCATTCGCTCACTCACATGTCCATCCATTTATCTATCCATTTATCCAATAAATATTTCTCGAGTGACTTCTGCGTACCAAACACTTCACGTTCCCATCCCCTGGCAGTTTATGATTTAGAGGTTAGGGTTCTGATGGGCAAGCTGGCAGTCACAAACAATGTGCTGAGTGCAGAGTTGGGCTAAGTTGGGAGAAGAGGGCAGAGGAGCACAAAAGGAGGCCATGGTTGGTATCTGCAGGGTCTGGGAAGGCTGAATAATGCGAGAGAAGGTAGTCTGGCAGAGGAAGTAAGCGGTACAAAGGCCTGGAGGCAGGAGACAGCATGTCATTTTCAGAGAACATAAAGTACGTATGCTAAGAATCTTTGGTTAATTCCTTCCCTCAAGTTTCCTTTCTCTCCAGAACTAGCTCTACTCAGAGAGGAAATGAGCAGGTACTTAAGAGCCTATAAGGCCTTTCCTCTTCTGTGCTTTGCCAGGGGCAGAAACTTGCCGACAGAAAGCAGTGGTCCTTTGTCAGGGACTGTTAAGGAGACTGGATTCTTCAGAGTATTTAAAAGTAGGGTTGTCAGTAACTGGCCCTAGACGGAGCTTTGATTTCACTTTGGGTACGCAGCTGGAAAAAGGCCTCCTCTTTTGTGGAAATTTAGATTTTGGCATCACATTTGTTTACATGGATGCACCTGAATCATGTTTTGTGTCCACTTTGAGGGGGAAGAACACGCCCCCCTCCCTCGTCCCTCCCCTTTTCTCTCTGTACTGGGTGGTTGTAGTTCCTGCTTAGGAGGCTTGAGAAGAAGAGCCACAGAGAAAAGAACAGCCTTAGTCCCTGAAAATGAAAAGGAAAGAGAACTTGAGCACTGTCCACAGCTCTCCAGCTGCTCAGCTGCTCAGCTGCTCAGGGGTCCATCCAAGGCCGGAATATGGAGCAGCAACCCCCAGTCTCCTGCCTCAGGAAGAAACCAGGGCAGTAAGAACAGGCCAGTAAGAACAGCCGGTCGTCTGAACAATCCTGCCTGCCCTCACCCCCCACCCCTCACCCTTCTGGGAAGCACCCACGTGAGCCAGTTAGTGATAACATCCTTACTTCTAAAATAAACAGGGAAATTATGCAAATGAAGCAGTTCTGCATTGTGAAGCAGAAACGGTTCAAGGGGGAGCTTTCCTGCAGTGCAGCAGCATATCCAGCGAGGAGACTCTAAGGGGATAAGGGGATAGGGAAGGTGTGAAGGCAAGATTTCTAGGATCTCTTCATAATTCTCATCCAGCTAGTGAGTCTGCCTGGCTTTTTTCACAGCACTTTGGAGGCCCCAAGGTGTGGCAGGTGTGATAGTCAAAGCCACAGGAATACCATAAATGTGTTCAGAGATTTCTGCGCAATGTGTTCACGAGTCATAAAAGTAGCTTCTTAGAAATACAAATGTAAAACAGGTTCTTTTCAGATGATCGTAACCTTTGAAGATTTTGGCACATTCCTGCTTTGTTCTCAGATATCTCCAGGGGGCATTAAAAATGTCATCCTAGATAAAACTATGTGTAATATTTTTCTCAAGTACCACTTTTGAAATACTCCCTTGTGAAATTAGACTGGATCTTGGCATGCATGTGGGTCATAGTCTTGAAGGAGACATAAACATAATTTCCTAACAACATGTATGGTTTTATAGACATTGCATTATAAAGCACATTTAGGCATGATATACATCTAGGTATTAAGAAATATAGGAAGTTTCTTAAATTTGAGGATTTGTGCAAATATTTCATTGACCAATACTGTAAATTCGAAAACAATTATTGTGTATCTTATAAAATGCATTTGTCATGTTTCTTTTTTTTTTAAGTTAACATATGGTCTTTATGCCCAGTTAATTTTTATTTTCATTTTTATTTATTTACTTATTTTTAACATTTATTCATTTTTGAGAGACAGAGATAGAGCGCAAATGGGGGTGGGGCAGAAAGAGAGGGAGACACAGAATCTGAAGCCGGCTCCAGGCTCCGAACTGTCAGCACAGAGCCCCCTATGCGGGGCTCGAACTCAGGGAACTGTGAGATCGTGACCTGAGCCAAAGTTGGAAGCTTAACTGACTGAGCTACCCAGGTGTCCCATTTTATTTCCATCTTTAAATTACTGGTTGATTTATATACCATTACTTTCCAAAAAGTATCTGAAGTGGTTAACAATTTTTTTTTTAAAAGCAATTTTTAAAAAGGAAATCAGGAAGCAAGAAATAAAGAAGTGGGGAATATTAAACAAAACAAAACAACTCC